CCCCCCCCCCAGGTCTCCTGGGACCCAGGCATGGTCACCCTGCCCCTGAGAGCCTTCCTGTGCAGCTCAGGGCAGAGAGGGGGACCCCCCCGGGCATGCCCCCCCCTTGGGCTGGGACCAGAGCAGCACCAGCAACCACCCCAGCCTAGACCCCCCCTCCCCACCAGTTCTCATCTCGCTCCAGCTACGCTTGGCACGCGGGAGTTGGGCGCAAAGGGGAAGGGCCCATGGGCTGCCAGCCTGGGCAGGTGCACGTTTGCCAGGGGACGAAGCAGGCGGAGGTCTCCATGGAGCAGCTCCCACAGCTGCTTTAACCCTGGTTAAGGTAAGACTGCAAGGGGCTGATGGTTAGAGCCAGGCCCATCCCACCCCCAAGGCCCTGAGGCCAGGCTGTAGCCTGTTGCCAGCACCCCACAGGCTCCAGGACCACACCGCGCAGAAGAGCAGGCCCCAGCTCTCCCCAGGGGGACTGCAGGGCCCCCGAGATCCCTGCCAGGGGGACACAGGAGTCTGCTCCAGCGATGCTACACCCCCAGTAACTCCCGCGTACACAGGGGTTAGCGCAGAATGCGGGGTGCAGAGTCTGGCCCTGCCCCTGCAGTGCTTCCAGACCCCAACCAGGGCAGCAGAGGCGCCCAACCCCCCTTGCTGAGAGAGGAGACCCCCCAGGGCCGTGGGGGTGAATCCTTTGGCCGGATTCTGTGGGGCAGGGCAGAGGGGGGACTGTATCCCCAGGTCAGGGGAGTGGAACCAGCACCCACTACTAGGGGCAGAGCCAGCAGCCCAGCGTCTGAGCTGAGAGCTGCCCCACGCCAGGCCCCCCACTGCACTCTGCCATGCCCAGCTGAAACCAGCCTGGCTCCGGGGCCCCTGCCTGCTCCCATCTGCCTGCAGGCAGGGAGGAGACCCAGCCCTGGGGGTCAAGGAGGGGTCTGCTCAGAGCCCAGGGGCAGGCTGGGGGGCACTTAGCTAGCACAGGGCAATGTGCATATGGTTACCCATGTGGCTTTGCAAACCAGTGACAGACCTGCCGAGGTTCCTGGGGCACGGCCACACCTCCCAGCCCCAGAGCAGAGAGGAGGGGTGGCCGGCCTCAGGCCCCTGCAGCCCCGCTCCAGGCAGCAAGGGGTTAACATCTCCCCACCAGCCCCCTGCCAGCCAGGACCCCGCAGCCCCGCTCCAGGGAACAGAGCAGTGGGGCCCCCACAGCCACCCAGTGCCATGGGGCGGGCAGCGCCAGGGCAGGCGGGGGGCTCAGCAACGCAGGATCCCGGCGCTCTCCTGCCCCCAGCGGCCGGGCCGGGCACCCAGAGATGCCCCCAGCGGGGTCTCCGCTCACTTGACAAGAGCCTGGTTACACGACGCGCAGACGAACACCGTCTCCCTCTGGGCATCTGGGGCTGGAAGGAAAGGAGCTGTCAGAGATCCACCCCATTGCCCCCCCCAACCACCATCCCCCACATCTGTGCCCCTCAATGACACCTCCCCCCCCCAGAGACCCACCCCATCACCATCCAACCCCCCATCACCACCACCGCTAAACATCTGGTCAGTGGCGCAGCAGGGCTAAGGCAGGCTCCCTGCCGGCCCCGGCTCCGCACAGCTCCCGGAACCAGCCGGCATGTCCGACCCCTAGGCACGGGGGCAGCCCTTGCTGCACCCCAACCCCCTGCCCCAGCCCAGAGCTCCCCCCTGCAGCCCAAACCTTTCATCCCCGGCCCCACCCCAGAGCCTGAAGCCCCAGCCGGAGCCCTCACCCCCTCCCTGCACCCCAACCCCCTGAGCCAGCCCGGTGAAAGTGAGTGAGGGTGGGGGCCTGGAATGAGTGAGGTGGGGCCACATGGAAGGGGCAGGGCAGGGGCCGTGCCAAAGTGCTTGGCTTTGTGCAGTTAGGAAGTTGGTAACCCTGCTGCCACCCCACTGCAGCTGGCATAGCCGGGAGCCCCCCACAGCACCCTCTCCTGGGACAGGCCGGGCTGGAGTAGCCGTGAGCTCCCCCCACAGCCAGTCCCCCGCCCCCCACAGCGCCCCCTGCTGGGCGAGGCCAGGGCTGGCATAGCCGGGAGCCCCCCACAGCGCCCCCTGCTGGGCGAGGCCAGGGCTGGCATAGCCGGGAGCCCCCCACAGCGCCCCCTGCTGGGCGAGGCCAGGGCTGGCATAGCCAGGAGCGAGAGAGGCCACCCCACCTGCACCCACTCACCTGTGGCTCCCATGGAGGACTTGGGGACTTTGTAGGAGCAGCAGCGGGAGCAGAAGCTGTTTCCGCAGTTACTGCAGCTCCGCTGGGGAGAGACGCGCAGGTCAGAGTGTGCGGCGGCAGGGCCCGGCCCTGGGGGCAGGGCAGGGCTTGCTGGAGATTGTCCGCTGGGGGGGCTGTGCCCCAAGGACCTGCTGATGGCACCCGGCAGAGGGCACAAGGGCTACGGAGATCGTGTGGCTCTGGCACCCACCTCGAGTGCCAACGAAGGTCCCGCAGGGCCGAGCTGCCGGCACGCTAACCGCTGGCTCTAGGGCAGACACGCAGCAGGCGGAGCGACGCTCCCCTCAGCAAGCGCACTATGGTCTGGCCCAGCGGGCGCAGTGCGGGTCAGGCTGCAGGGGAGACCCGGGGGGAGGGGGGGGGAATCCCAGCGAGGACTGAGGCGATGTCTGCACTAGAAAGGGGGCAGAGCTGGTGCTGCAGCGTAGACACGCAGTCCAGCACGGAGGTTAACCCACCGCCCCCAAGCAGCAGCCAGACGCTGTCTACACCAGGGCCTAGGTCGGCAGGGAGGTGAATTTCACAGCCCGGGCCATGCAGCTGGGGCCGTCGAATTCACCAGCGGAGACCTGCCCCAAGACCAGTCCCTTCTCGCTGTCTGGGGTGCAGCTGAACCCCGGGTCTGTGGGGACAAGCAGCCGGAGCGGGGCTCTCAGCCAGGCGGCCGAGGGGAACGGCTCGCTAGCCAAGTGCGGGCTCTGGAGCGCCTGGGATGATTTCGGTGCCAGGGTATGGCTGGGATCTCCCCTCTGACATGAAACGTGGCTTGTTCTCACGCTGCCTCAGCCCAGACCATGCGGGGTCAGGCAAGGGGCAGGCAGGCGGGGAACGGCGGCTGGGCGCTGCAGCAGGACACTCGGGGGGTGGCGGGGGCCTGGCGCCGACTGTCCAGAGAGCAGCGCTGGTGCTGGCAGGATCAGGGAGCCGACCCAGGCAGGAACAGCCCAGGGTGGCCAGGAGGCACCACGCAGCAGCCAGGGGACATGGACCTGGCACAGGGAAATGTGGGGCCCCAGCCAGCCCCACTACCCCCAGCTGAGCAGCCAGGCCAGGGCTCAGAGCCCCGCTGCTACCGGCCCACAGCAGAGCCGGCAAGACGGGAGCGGGTGCAAACAGGCAGGACTCACCCTCTTCTTGAGCACGGAGAAGGTGGCTGCGCAGCCGGTGCAGCTCCCTAGAGGAGACGGAGCGAGGGGTCAGGCTGGGCACTGCCTGCAGGAGGCGGCAGACAGGGACGTGGGAGCTCAGCCTGGCTCCAGTCCTTGCGCCCCAGGGACCGTGGCGATGCCCCCGCCCAAGGCGCCCCTGCCAGGCAGCCTCAGCACAGAGACCAGCTTCTCTGCTGCCTGCAGGGGGTGGCAGCCGCTCGCGCCCTGAGCTCCCACGGCCACGTGCCCGGCGCTGCCGCCCGGGAGAGCGGGGACCCAGCTCGGAGCCCCAGGTCCAGCCCAGCAGGAGCCCTGGCTCAGGGGATCTCCCGGGGGCTCCAGCCTGGCTGCGGAGGCCAGAGCTCCAGCCAGCAGGGCCGTGCAGCGGGCATCAAGCATCGCCCTGGCAGCCCGGGCTGGGAGCTCCCGTTACCCATGGGGGAGCCCCCCACAGCATGGCTCAGGGCTGGACCAGCCCGGCACCCAGACAGCACAACCCAGCCGGTGCCTGTCCCCAGCTCCCCCGGGCAGCGACAGCCCAGCCACCCCCAGCCCGGCACCTGACAGACACAGGCAGGGGAGGGGGTGCCCCCCGCACCAGCGTTCAGCAGCCCAGCCCCCCCCCCACACACACACACACCCTCCCCCCCACCG